GACCCTGGTTACAAAGGATATAATATGCATGCCGGATTCTTTAAACAACCAAACTAATCTTCTCTTTTACCCTAACAAACTTACCGCTGTTGCTGGTTAATTTGTTTTAATAAAAGGAATTAATGATTTCCCCCCTCTACATAATAGAGGCTCGAACTCAGGTCATCAACTTAGTAATGTTGGTCATATGAATCCTCTTTTGTTTCGACGAAGCTATTCTGATGAGTTGTTTAGAAATTTTTGAAGTTTTGAACTTGGTTTAGATGGTTAAAGGATTTGATGAGTTCAATGTCACACATCTATGAAATTTTTGTAGGTTAAATCCACCAATGATCACCAAATTTTATACTTGGTGTCATCATGACCATTTCAATTTAGTGGTCATGGTAACACTAAGTATAAAATTGGGTGGTCATTTGTGGATTTAACGCAATTTTTGCTCATGTATCTATGAAATCTTTACTAAAAGTCAAGTTTTTATTAAATTTTGATAAATGTTGATGAAATGACAGTTGAAAAGTTGTGAGTTTAGGAAAAATGAGTTCTAAAAAATAGGGTTAAAATGTGTGTGTATATTTTCATTTCAGTTCAAACTTGACTTTTCTAATTACTCATAGAGGTTTCAAGACGGACGGACCGATCAGACCCGTGAAAATCGGCCCGTATCGATCCTGGACCGCGGACCGACCCGTGACCCGAGCGGACGGTTTATGGGTCAAGGAGGTGTGACTCGCGGGCTTTGCGAGTTGCACCTTCACGGATCGCGGTTAACCCGCTGACCAGTGAAAAAAAAATTAAACAATTTGAAAAAAAGAGGGGAGAGAGTCGTTGTACTTATGCTATAAGTATTTGATAATAGTAATTAGAAATATAGCTTTGTTAATTTCACTTGATGGATTGACCCTGGTTACAAAGGATATAATATGCATGCCAGATTCTTTAAACAACCAAACTAATCTTCTTTTTTCCCCTAATAAACTTACCGCTGTTGCTGGTTAATTTGTTTTGATAAAAGGAATTAATGATTTCCCCCCTCTCCATAATAGAGGCTCGAACTCAGGTCATCAACTTAGTAATGTTGGTCATATGAATCCTCTTTTGTTTGGACGAAGCTATTCTGCTGAGTTGTTTTGAAATTTTTGAAGTTTTGAACTTGGTTTAGATGGTTAAAGGATTTGATGAGTTCAATGTCACACATCTATGAAATTTTTGTAGGTTAAATTCACCAATAATCACCAAATTTTATATTTGGTGTCATCATGACCATTTCAATTTAGTGGTCATGGTGACACTATAAAATTGGGTGGTCATTTGTGGATTTAATGCAATTTTTGCTCATGTATCTATGAAATCTTTACTAAAAGTCAAATTTTTATTAAATTTTGATAAATGTTGATGGAATGACAGTTGAAAAGTTGTGAGTTTACAAAAAATGAGTTCTAAAAAATAGGGTCAAAATGTGTGTGTATATTTTCATTTCAGTTCAAACTTGACTTTTCTAATTATTCATAGAGGTGTCAAGACGGACGGACCGGTCAGACCCGTGAAAATCGGTCCTGATCGATCCTGGACCGCGGACCGACCTGTGACCTGAGTGGGCGGTTTATTGGTCAAAGAGGTGTGACTCGCGGGCTTTGCGGGTTGCACTTTCACGGACCGCGGTTAACCCGCTCACCAGTGAAAAAAAAAATTAAACAATTTGAAAAAAAGAGGGGGAGAGAGTCGTCATACTTATGTATAAGTATTTGATAATAGTAATTAGAAATCTCGACCCGGATGGGTCAACGGGCGCGCCTGGGTTGTAGTCCAAAATTTGTGGGTCGACTCGGAACCCGTAGCAGACGGGCTTTTTTTCACGCGGACTGTACCGGACTCATATGTTGAGGGGCCAACCCGGCCCGAACCACCCGAATTGACACCTCTAGTTACTCGGTGCTTAGTTTTTTTGTTTTGTTTTAAGTGGAATTAATTCGTAGAATGGTCCAAGACGGGGGGAGGGGATGATGTGGGGTGGTAGTGGTGGGCCATGCACCATACAATACAATGTTAGTTGTATTCTCAAGTGTCATTTATTCATGGTGGGAGCCTTGCTCCCATAGCAGTAAAGCTCAAGCAATGTTTTCGCTACGCGTGGACAATGCTCAATCGATCACATGAATCTTATGTAACGGCATTTTTTAATGAGTAATGTTATTCATCCCCAGTGGGGATGAAAACAAAGTTTAGGTGGCTGTAAATGATTGGTGAAATGATAGGTGAAATTAAATGACTTATTTAATTTCACCTATCATTTAATGCCACATTAGCGCCACCTTAACTGTGTTTTCATCCCCAGTGGGGATGAATAGCATTAACTTTTTTTAATGGTACAAACAAAAAATAATTTATAATAATTTTTTTTAATTTTATTTTCACGATATATCATGTTTTGCAAGCGTCGTTTAATTAAGTCTTATTTGTTTTGATTTGGCTCTTCTAAAGATGCTAGTAGAAGAGTTATTTTTACTAGATTGGACGAAATTTTAGAATAACACTTGCACGTATCTAAGAATTCCGTACACATATTAGAACTAGCACGAATTTTAATCATATTGCTAGAGCATGAAGACTGGTACTCCGGCATCACAAATTTCTTAGGTTGGGGTTCGCTTAGCCAATGTCTCTTTTAGGACGCGTGTCAAGTGTCTTCTTGACTCTCATGTTTAAATGACATATGCTGTGTAATGCTATTTATCTTCAGATTAAAATCCTCCGGAGGCTTGACATATTTTTCTAAAATTTTAGGTGGCCATCAAGTTAAAATTATCAAGTTGATGTCAGTTTTACTATAAAAACCTTTCAAATTGCTTGTCAAACAAAAGCAACCAATGCCTTTGACATCCCCCGCTTTTCTTGGGAATTTTCTAGGATTTAATTAATAGAATATGAACCCTAATAAAATCATATGTATAAATCCACAAAATCTTGATATTTTCCTTTCAAAAATCAAGGTTTCTGATCATGATTTTGTTTCATATTATGTAAAATAATACTTTGGGTGGATAAAGGAATCCTAATCGATGGATTTCTTAATTGTAAAAGCATTGTGTCAATGTGGAAGAGGCAATCCGCTAAAGACTTAATTCAAAAAATAAATTTATATTATATCTAACAGCTTAAATTTATAGACGTGAAGGTTTACCATTAATGCATTAGAGTATACAGGTCTCAATACCATTTTGAAAATTGTGTATCAAACTTTCGATAATAAAATACTTGAAAATTTAGATAAATGATTAAACCAAACAATTTATGTTGTTAAATGAAACCTTAACGAAATAAGAAGGATGAGCAAACAAGAACATACGATTAAATATAGGGTCGGTCTTAACTATAGTCGGCATAGTGCCAAGGCCCCTATATTATTAATGCTTTCAATATTTATTTATTTATTTTAAAAGGCTTTTGACATTATATTTGGTCTCAAATGGGGTCGGCCTTCATTAAGGTTTTTCCCATTTGTAAAGAAGAAGAAGCAACAGAAATGGCCAGAATTGACTAAAACGGTGGGCCCCATAGCGTATTTAAATATTGCAAAAAATGGTGGACCCCACCTACTTGTGTGTGATCTAGTGTGTTTCTGTGTTGTACAGTTTCTGTACACCTAGCAGAATTCCTTGATTAAATACTCCAGTTTTCGTTGATTCCATAGATGACGAAATCAAAATGTAGCCAGACAATTAACTGCACAGCTATACACGATATTTCAAAATCTTGTGTTTTCATATCCATAATCCATGGAGTAACTGCCCGGGCTCCTTAGCTACCCTACACATTAACTCGATTACGACCCTACTATGTACTGGGAAACTGATAGCTGAGTCCTGCAAATTGAGGATATGCCTTTCTTTTTTTACATGGAATAAGACAAGTAAATCGGGTTCACACCAAGGCTTTGTGAGTACATCAGCTATGCAACACGTTCGGTTGTATCCCCATTTCGTTGAAAAATAAGTTTTATAATAGTGATTTTTCTAAGAATGTATGTTTAAAAAGTGGCAATTTTTTTTTGAATTTACGTGTAAAATTATCTTGAAAAGAGCCTCTAAACACGAAGATAGAATATATATCTATTTCTGTCGTATAGAACTTCACTTTTCATATACATTTTCCCGATGTAACATGGTAAAATTCATTAGCCAAACACAAATATCGAGCACTATTAGTTACAAAGTACAAATTTTAGCATTAAAATTTTTTTGTAACCCATAGTAAGAGCCATGAGTTTGTGTTTGGGATGGCTTTTTTGAAACTTTTAAATTGATATACACTTCGTTACAAAGTACAAACTTTAGTATTACAAAACTCCATCATACTCGTGTATAATATTTACTAGGCTCATCATCGGATCCTCTAATAGGCAAGTAGAGTTTCCGAATCTCATTAAAAATGAAACAAAATATCTGGATAATTTATTGTATGGAGAGAAAAACAGAATGATAAATACTTGGAGTCTACCCTGCACGTAAGTATATGTAATTCACTGATGATGTATCAATGTTTGGTCTTGTTTAATCTTTCGTTTTCGTCCTCGTATGTAGGACCACATTGATAATAAATGGGTTATTTTTCTATATAGAGAGCTGCCAATATATTTTTTAAATTATCCAATATATAAGTACGAATGAACGAATATTTAATGCTCAAATTCCCAGTATTCTACAAATTAAGGAGTGTTAATTCTTATTTCTAACAATTAACAAATCAAATTGCTACAAGAAGTTTCATTTTTAACTGATAGTTACAAAGCTTTCACTCTAGACTCCCTCGTGCCATGCCCAAAGCCCCTCCGACAAGAGATCCTTTCTGTGATAAATGCTGTAAATTACGTTTAAAAAATACGTAGAAAAGTCAGTATTCCATCACCCTTTTCTCATATAATTCCTTGTCTTGATCTCTACTTATAATTCACCACTCGTTGCTCAACTCTCTTGGCCTGTATCTTTCTCTCTCTGACAAATATGGTACAATCCAAAAAGTTCAGAGGCGTCAGGCAACGTCACTGGGGTTCTTGGGTTTCCGAGATTCGCCACCCTTTACTGTGCACTCAAAATCTTTGACTATGTTTATTTATATTTTTGCACTCAGAATAATCAGTTTATGATTGTTAATGGATTTGTTTTTGTTGATTGTTTTGCAGGAAGAGAAGGGTGTGGTTGGGGACCTTTGAGACGGCGGAGGAGGCAGCGAGAGCCTACGACGAGGCGGCGATTTTGATGAGTGGCCGGAATGCTAAAACAAACTTCCCTTTCGTGGCTAGCCAGGATGCAAATGATAATAGTTCTCCATCACCATCATCATCAACCACCACATCATCTGCAAATTCTCTTTCGACAATTCTTAGTGCAAAACTGCGAAAGTGTTGTAAATCACCATCTCCTTCTCTCACTTGTTTAAGGTTAGACACTGAGAATTCCCATATCGGAGTATGGCAAAAGAGGGCCGGGGCACGTTCGGATTCGAATTGGATGATGACTGTTGAGTTTGACAAGAAGAATGATCAGCCACCGTTACCATCGGCTGAGGTGGCGATGGTGCCGGAGGATTCGACGTCGATGGAGATCGAAACCCGGGATGGGGTGGATGAAGAAGAAAAAATTGCATTGCAAATGGTTGAAGAACTTCTTAACAGGAATTGAAAATTGCTACGTCATTTTCTTAGTTCATATCCCTTTCGATTGAATTAAGTTGTGTTAATTTGTTTGTCCCATGAAGAACATGGCGCATCAAGACCTAAGATTTCATTTGTAAGTGCTTTTCATTTGAAGAAATTTCTTTATATTTATGGGCCTTAGAAAATTTGAAATAATTAGAAATTACACTCACCACCCTTTTTCTTTTGAAATTCCAATTTTAATTCTATTATTTTTTATTCACTAAATGATAATTTTTTTTTTCTATAATCATTCAAAGACATCACTCAACAAACACTTCACATTCTTCCCAACATCTCACCTCAACAAAATATTGATGGAAAAGGAAAAAGGGTAGGGAGCCTTGCAATCGAGCTCCCTTCTGCGTTTGTCCTTGAGGATCAATCTCTGTCCGACCTGAGAAAACCTTTGAATATGAATTTTCTAAAGAAAATATCATTACAACTTCATTACAAAGAGCTGAGGAGAGTAAAATACTTGTGCAAAATGAATTTCCATTCAGCAAATAAGTCTCCAATTTTGACATGAAAATCCAGTTGCTTTGAAAGGAGTGCTATCTGGAAAATGGTTTGGTAGCACTTGGAAACATATGTAGTAGATCAATTTCCCTCTGGTTGTCACACAACAACAAACTCGTTCCAGATAAATTTAGGGTCAGCTACATGAACATTTTTTGCTACTTTGTCCTACTGAAAGATAATGTAAAACACACAAGAACTTGTGTTTTGAATATCAATCTGCATAAGGGCATGCAGGTAGGTTAAACATCCCTAACATTAACATCAATGTATTTTGCATGTTTTTCTAAAATAAAAATAAATTAAAGCTACAAATCTATTTCATAAACATTGCAATCTCGTCCTTTTCGAAAATGGATATGTAGACAGGTCGAACAATACGATTATTATTCGAACAATTAGCAGAAGAAAATGTTTAATAATTATAGATGAAGACAACATATCTACTTCAAATAAGAAAAACATCGACATTAATTAAGCATATGAAGACCAAAAAAAAAAAAATCGATTATTTTGATTATGATCGATGTGAATAATAGTAATATAATCAAAGAGCTCGATAACCATAATATGATTGGTACTTTGAGGTAGACTAAAAATAGGATATAATTAATAGTCTCCAAAGTTGTTGTGAAGACACACAGACACACACACATGAAGAAAACTTTAGAATTCCTAATAGAACCATTTTTGTAAATGTTGCATCGTGCAAATTAAGTTAACTACGATAATTTTGATAAAGACAAACATAGGATTATCCTTAATTTTTGGAAACAGACCTTGATGAACTTATTCTCAAACTTTCATTAATTAGCACATCACGTCTTTGAAGATGATTTCCTTCCAAAAGTCCGTTTCGACAGAATAAAAGGATATATTTGCCCTCATATTTTTAAGCTCCTGTTTGGTAGATATTCAAATCAGGTTTTTAGTAGATTTTGATAAGAATTGGTAAAATATGTGGTTGAAAAGTTGTGGATCCCATGAAATATATAATTAAAATTAATTGTTGACTTTAACTTGAAATTTTAATCCAAATCAAAGAGGAGCTAAATGAGCAGAAAAATAAACAAATACAAAAATGCTACATAATATTTACCCCTCATTTCAAAGCACGTTCAAATAATATTTTGACATAAATCATCATCAAAGATAAGATGTGATAATTAACAAAATATTTAAAATAAAAATAATGTTTAACTTGTCTATAAAACTAAAGCTATGATAATAAAAGTATTGAGTTGATTATATACCTACTACTTGGGCTAGCTAGTAGCTATACCCCTCAAGTCATTTTAGCCTTTATGATATTTATATACGTTCATATTATTATTTTTGTTATTTTATCGTAGAGCCTGCTATATTACTAGAGCCCAGGTGGCCCTAGCAAAGTAGATAAACCCTTTTAACATCTTCAACTATGTTTCACTAAAATTTTATTAAAATACCATTTGTACACTTCAAAATGTATATCATGATTGACATTGGATTGTTTTTAAAAAAAATTTACTGGTGGGAAAACTTTCTTTTTCATTTTTTATAAATTGTCACGTGGCAGACTGTCAAACTTAGTATGAACTATGGTATACACCAAGCATGATTGAAAAATTTAACACCCCAAATTGTAATAAGGTTAAAATATTAGTGGAAATTTTGTAGTACAAGTTCTTGGAAAAACTAGAGATTTTGACGGATTTATAAGAAAAATAGTGCATTTTTTAATCAACAAATAACAATGCATCATAATAATGAGCATTTAAGACGGGATATTTTTTGTCTAACCGGGGTCCAACTCCAACTAATGGAAATAACTACAAGTTTAATGACAACTAGAAAAAATAAAATGATTGGTTCATATTTTTGGACTAATCGAGCAAGTTCAATTTCTGCAAAGTAAATAGAACATGCATTTCAAGCCTCGTGAGAAAATTTGGAGTCCAACCTTCAATGTCGTGGTTACCATTACGTCTGCTGCAGGTGCACTGCTCAAGGTGTTCCCACGGCTTGAGCAGGTCACCGCGTGGTGGCTGGGGGACAAATAGTCCACTCAGAACTGGTATGAACAAGAAGAGCCTGGCTGTTTAACTTATATAAAGCAGTGCCTACGAATGTTTTTAAGCCAAAAGGAAAAAAAAGTCTCTTAACAACTGGAAATAACGAAAATATGCATACATCAAGGTACTTTTCCATTAAGGAAAAAAAAAAAAAAAATCAGTAATGCTACTGTATGAATTTTAAAAACAAATTATTGACATCATGTTTGCTGCATTTGCTTTTTCAAACCTCCAAGGGGTCCATAACCTTTTTCCTCCACCTCATTTGTCCTACAATTACAATTGCTAATATTAAGATTTGTACCACATTTGAGACATAAACCTTTGCAACTCGGATTACATACAGCTTTGATGGTAATCTCTATATGTACAAGGTCTCTTATATTCTTTGAAATGTCGATGAATTTTTCCTCCGGGGGAAAATATAGATGATCCTCTGGATCGATCAAAGCATCATTATCCGATTCATCCTCTTCACTCATACCAAAACTCTTGAATTTGTCTTCCCCAAAGATTACTCCCATGTTTATAGTCTCTGGTTCTTGAATGGGTTCTTCTGACAATAAAATTGATAAGTCCGAGTAGACACTCTCCGCAGCAGGTTCACCGCACCTTCAGCATTAGCATAATGAGTGACTTTGAAATGAAAATCATAAGAATATATGCACAACAGAAAAAAATAGTACATACTGAGAAACCTATAAATGAAAACATAAGAAGATACAGAAAATAATAGTAACTATTTAATATAGAACTCTTCCATTTTGCATGGCAAAGTGTCTTTATCGTAGATACATGCCTTTATCTAATTACTTTTCAAATGCAGAGTAAAACTTCCACCAAGACTTGTAAAGGCACTCCAGTTCAGGATATATATTCGGGTTAATACTGCTAAATTTCTCTGATATGATAAAGCTAAAAAAATGGTATAATCATTGGTCTTCTTATTCTTTCATCCAGCAACATAATGTGGTTGATAAGATGAAAAAGTAGACATATTCTGGATTTCCTGTACTCTTTCAGTTGATAGAAAGATTATAAAACTTTGAGCTGATGGATTCTCACTGCTTCCCATCTCATCAATTATGCAGCTTCAATGGTTCTAAATGGGCTTTTTCCATTATTTGTACTTCATCCTCACGAGTTTCTTTTTCCCATTCCCCTTGTTTCCGGCTGTTTGTGTTTGTCCATCAACTACACAAGGGATAGATAAGTTGAATCCTCGTGCAATCAAACGGATTCTTTTATAGATCCTGTCACTCAAAACGATTACTTCTTCAAATGTGCAGATTTAAGCCCTCCTTTGATTTCTTGATTGCCTTCAAATTCTCATGACCCTCGTATCGCTTTGAGAAAGCAAAGGGCACTTTATACTTTTCACCCTATTTTTAACTTTGTTTCTTTTAATGTTCATCTACTTCATATTCTTCCTTTCTTGCTAACGGTAATCCATGCCAATACCAAAGAATATGACAGAAGCTTTATCTCAACTCAGCGACTTGAGGTATGATTGGAGAGACGCAAACTTTGCCATTCAAAAGGCGGTACAATAACAAAAAACTATTAAGCAGAATACTGCAATTTTGTGCAACATATTTTCTTCATATATACAAATATATTCATCATAATTTCTGTCTCCATTCACCTAAACACTATCAAGCAGGGTCAAGAATATAGCTGTCCTTTACAGAGAGTGATGTTGTAACTCAAAAGTATGCAAATGCATATGCGCCACCGATATAATGCACTGGCTCCAATCTAGGCAATCTTCAGAGAGTGATGTTGATAACGAAATACAACCTCAGACTATCAAAAAAATAATAATAATAATCATCTTATTCTCTTTGTCCATCTCCATCTCAAGTTCTTTGTCTTTGTTCCCCCCAACCACCAATAGAGTCAAAAATATAAAAATTTGCTTCATAAATCTCGTCCTTTTTCCTAGCTCCCTCTCTTAGATATAAATTACAGTTCTCACTCTGCCATTCTTCCTAGTTTTCGTTAAGCTATTCATTACGTGGTACATTATACGTACATTGTAAAGATTTTTGCTTCCATAAAAGCATAATGTTTTTTTCAGCATCTTATTATTGCTTCAAAAATAGTCAAACTAACACCTTTTGCAAGCGAAAAAATGCCTATCAGGAAAACTGATCATCCTCACCAAGAAACACTTGTTTGCTAATACAAGAGCACAACTTAATTATCCAGATCAACAAGTAAATTTTTGTTTCCAAATATGTTTTGAGTAAATTACACTTTTTCTTGCTTTTAAATATGAAAATTGCTTATTTTGACGTCAAGGAACTACAGTTTCCAACTTTAACCAACTACGAAAATAATTATTTTATAACTACTTATAAGTAACTTCTTTAAGCTTATCCAAACATCAAACTGCACTATGAGATAGGCAAACAATTAAGATAAGAAATCAACCAAAGTATGAAGGCATAAGCAAATAGTAAGCTAAATACCTGTTGCATCCAAGACTAATAACAGTTCGGATAATTCCATCTAATCGCATCTTCCCCTTCTTCCTCGTCACATCAATGGAAACCAAAACCGGAGTCCCATTCGGATAATCTTTCACGGATTTGGTAACCCGAATACCCATTTCCGAAGCCCGAGATTTCGACACTTCCGAGGAAAGCTTTCCCAAACCCAATCTTTCTAAAGTAGTGCAGTATTCCAGATGGGAAATACTAGGGTCCCGTTTGTAAATAATTGCACCTTCCCATGGGCACCCTTCATCCTCATCATGTTGTTCTACAATTTCTTCGTTTTGAAATTCCCGCTTGATACTACTGGCTTCCTCAGCCTCAGTAATTAAGTTGGATTTAGTGGTTTTGTGGGCTCTTGCTAGAATTAAGTTTGGTGGGCTGCCTGGTCTCTTCTGGAATATAGTTGTGGCATTCAATTTGAAGGATTTTTGTAGTCTTTCATTTTGGTATAACTTATATCGGACAAGAGTTGAAGAAGGGACGGCGGTCGTGGCGGTGGCGCCGAATGCGTGAATCATTTTAGCCGTGGATACGGGTTTGGCTTGGCAAAACATATAGGTGAAGTTACTTATAGGCAAAATTTTAATAGTAAAGGCCTCTTTACAAAAAGTAAGTCACAAGGGGTCTTTTCTTCGCTAGTGAAAATAATAGACAATTTTTTCTAGGAGGCTCTTTTAGAGTGATCATACGAGGTTTGAAAATGAATTGATGCTATATGGTAGATCAACGAGTATTAGCGATTTTTGATTTGTCTAGCCAATTGTAACTTGTAATTTAGCCTATGGCTGATTTTGATTTTGTTACGAAAGATATTCTTTTTATTTTTTTTAACATATCATGACATTGACAGACAACAAAAAGAAATTTCAAATCAATTTATGGATAATTCGATCTTTTGACACGCTTGTTGAGTTATCTTAGTTAGCCTACATAAACAATTTAATTTGTAGGCTTCATATTGTATTCGACTTTGCTACTGATAGGAACGTGGACTTAAATTGAAGAGAATGTGAACTCTTTTTGCCTCAACTATTATAGCATGTGTATTTCCCAAAGCATAAAGAACGTGATCTCTTGACTTCATATGGGGATGACAATGGGGCGGGTATGGGACGGGTCGTCCTGTCCATTCCCACCCCCGTCCCGTTAGGTATTTTTGTTACCTTATCTCATCCCTATACCCGGTTAAAACGGGATGAGATGGGATGGGACGGGGTGGGGGGGGGGCGGGTGCGGGCCTCTGCCACATTTATTTATTATTAATTTTCTTTTATTTTTTTATGTCTTTAGTTAGTAAATATTATTATTTTTTACTAATTTGTTAAAAACAACTTATATTCTCTTTAAAAATGATGATAAATTTATTATTTTTGTTCGATAAAAACATTAGATTTGAAATTAAATTTAAATGGGAAGGGGACTATATTTTCCATAGTGGAAATTACACCTAAATTTATTATTTTTGTTCGATAAAAAATTTAAATTTGAAATTAACTTTAAACGAGGCGGGTAGCGGGGTGGGGACTATATTTTCCGTACCCCTCCTCGTACCCACTTCGGGGTAATGACCCCGCCTCGTTTACCCAGTTATACGGATCATTCCCGCCTCATTTTTGACGGGCCTCACGGGTATCGGGTTGAATGAATATTTTTTTGTTATCTCCAGTCTTCATCTTTACCTTTCTTGGGCTCGAGATTAAAATATTTAGGGTTGACAATATTGGGATGGTCCTTTTGCATGAATATTTAAAACAAGGTTTTATTTCACTGTGGTCGCTATAAAAAGCCTCTTAGCAATATTCGCCCAGTAAACTAACATTACCTGAATTGAGAACCAAAAAGAGAAATGCTGCTGGCAGTCTTGATCGCCAACTCAGAAGGCAATATTCTCGTCGAACGGTAATCGTTTTATATAGTACGCATAATTTACATTCAATCACAAAAATATATGTTTGTTTCGACTTTATAATAATCCATTTTTAATTTATCTAATCTCGGCTGTGTTATGTATGGTTCTTGATTTCTTTCAGTTCATGATTCTGTGAACAACGGCTTCTTTTACTATGAAATTCTGAAATGGGGGAGTAAATATTTCAACCCACATTATATAAGATCCATAATGGAAATTGAAAATGTCCCATTTACGATAATTTCAAGTTGGGATTTATATTATGTTTGAGATGCATTTCTTTCTAATTGGTGTTTATACATAATTGGATTTTCGGCTGTTATAGTTTCAATGGAGTTCCAGCAGAAGAGCGTTTACATTGGCGATCCTTTTTAGTGAAGCTAGGAGCAGATAATCTTAAAGGCGTCAAGAGTGAGGAGCTCCTTGTTGCTTGCCACAAGTATGTTGGGCTCTTCCTCAATTTGCTCCAGCGGTTGCTGCATATATTTAAGTGGACTTACGTCTGTGTTTGTGTGTCTTAACATTTTTTACGTCTGGTATCAACTTGGCAGAAATACATTGGAACGTTGCCATTACAAGCCCATTTAGTTGACATAGCTGAAGTTAATATTCATCAAGTGGAATAGCTGAAAAAAATTTGTGTGTCCTATAAGAAATTTTATGTTGTGCTAGATTATAACTAAAATGATTCATATATACACGTGTATGAACTAATTGAGTTTGATTTAGTAAAGAGCTCTTAGTTACTTGTATTTATGACATTAGCTAATCTTAGTGAAGAGAGGATTTTGTCGCAGGGGAGAAAGGAAGAAACACCTCAATCTTGTTTGCATCAAGTTTCATGGATCTTTTTTTGTAGAAAACAGCCAATACCTAATGGGATTTATACTCAATTTTCCTGGTGTTTGTGGGTGAATATTTGAGGCTATAATGAATTCTTGATATAGATTTTTACAATCAGTAGACAGGAAGTCTGACTGCAAAATAAGACATGTACAGACCTCTGAGTTGAACCTCCTGTTCTTTTCCTTGATTTGGGGAAGGAAATCTTATGTTTGAATATTAAAACGATTGTAATGTGGCATTCTCGTGATGTCATTGTAGTGGATTTAAGACAGAACACTGCAATATCTCCGAGACATCAATTATTGTTTGTTTTACGACTGACCATGCATCTAGAACGAAAGCTTCTGAGGCTATGTCAAGGTCCATACGGTCCAGTATTGATTTACTTTTGATGATTTGTTTGTATTGCTTCTAGAGCTGTTAAAATAGGAGAAGAGGGAGAAGTAACATTTTCCTCTCAAATCTTTGATCTTTGGTAAATTTGAACAATTGTATGATATCACTGGACAAATAGATTGTTGGCATTTGGACATTCGTGGTAATCTGAACTAGAGTTGTAACGATCCCTGCTTTCAAAAGGATACCTTTATTATGACACATTGACACCTATAAATTCCAATTGCTCCATCGTATTCCATGGTTGTTTCCATTATTTGGTCTATATTCTAGTTCTTGTTTATTTTAGTTTCTCCATTAGAACTCTGAAAGGTCAATTCCATTAACACGATGGAATAAATTGTCTTATGTTGTTACTTAATAAGAACTTGCTAATCAGCCTGATTTGATATAGAGTTGACTTATTCACCTTTGTAAATCTTGTTACACTGGAAGTCTAAAATTTTGAAAATATGAGCCTCGGATAGTGCATGGAGAAAGAATTAACAAACTGTCATTCATTGTTTCTGCTTATATATATGATGATGCTTACAGGGTAAATTTTAAGAAAATAACTATTGAAATCTTTATTCTTTTCATCCTTTTCAATATCTCAGTTGTAGTCGTGGTTTAAATTTTGTTCTTGTGCAGATCAGTTTACATCACATACACAGTTTTTGGGGATGTCAGTATATTTGTTGTTGGCAAGGATGAGTATGATGAACTAGCCTGTAAGTATGTCATCTTAGATACTTTTATGTCAAAATTTAATATAAAAAAACATTGAATTTTTTTCACGAGTTTATTAGACGACCTCCATTGTCATTTTGAATTAATCTGTTTCTTTTGTTTCATGCAAGTGGCCGAAGCTATCCTTGTTATAACCTCAGCCTTGAAGGATGTATGTAGGAAACCTCCGACTGAGCGCATATTCCTTGACAAATACGGAAAGATTTGCTTATGCCTGGATGAGATTGTGTGGAAGGTGAGTAATTTTCTTCTTCTTTCAGACTGAGGCTTGACTATATTTAAGGCTTTGTTTGGCAAGGCTTGTGAAAAGTCAAATGCTGCTTCAGAATATAAGAAGCTTCTTTTGGGCTTCTTTAGAAGTTCTTTTTCTAGATAGAGCTTTTAGAGGAAGCTAGTCCATTGTGGACTCCTCATGAAGCTTTTCTATAAAAAGCAATAGTAGAAGTCTTGTCAAACGGATCCTAACTTCCTTGATCAAGTACTCAAGTGCAAGTTTTCAGTTATCAAACTAACTAGACAGTCTTTATTACCTATTTGATGACTCATTCAAGATACCTATTTGGCCAAACATGCCCTTGAGTAGCTAGTAGTTAGTATTTTTTTCTGTATTGTAAGTGTTGCGTAAATTTTTTACTCCCTATCCCACGATGAGAAAATTAGTTGCTCACATTCTGATATACATTTCCAATAAACGAGTTCATGTTACATGATCCTTCGCACACCATACACTTTTGTGTTTAGCATTTTTCACTATGGGCATCAAGTCATTCCTTGCTTATGCTTCTATTAACTTCTTTTTTGAAAGGGTTTATTGGAGAACACGGACAAAGATAGAATTAAAAGGCTTGTACGCTTGAAACCTCCTAATGAATTCTGAACATTTCTCAAGCATCTCGCTTCTTTGAGTTTACAAAAGAAGAAAGGCGTAGAACATTAAGGACTGAAGTGCTGTTGTGCTGGTGTTTCTTGCTGTTACTAATTTTAAGTCGCGACGATGTTTCTTATTTCCAGTTCTGGTTGTAAAGTACTTCTATGATTACTTTGACTTAAAAGACTTGTTTGAGATAGCTTCTGCTTCTGCTTCTACTTTTTTTTTTTTTGGAGAATTGCTTCCTTAGAAAGTTTTTAATCGGATGAAGCACTTTCAGAAAATTATCCAAAACTGAATAAGCACGAGATAAAATATTTATGCTATAATATAATAAACAAGATTTTAGCTTATTTTTTTCTTCGTTAATGTTGTCAAGTGTTTGTGTTCACACTTCAGATACAAACATGTTTATGGTTCGAATATTGTCTAGATCAGTTACTCCTCGCATTGTTGTTAGTACTACTAGGATCAGCCAATGTATCAAGGTTTTCTATGCTCAGTTGATGTAAGTAGCGAAAATTTAAAGCTCATCTGACTAGATGGTCGGCCTTGGTAACTTATTTCAAGCTTCTTAGTTAAAAACTGCTACATGTTTGTATGCATTACATGTATATTTGATGTAGAGTATTCTACAACGTGATATAGTAAACAATTTTTGGTTTTTTTTAATGTTGTCTAATACTGTACAATCATTTCTATCCAACGCTATACAAAGTCGGGTATACACTACGTACATTTATGCTTTTACCCCTGCATTAGTTGTATTCCTGCGAGAAGGAGAAAAATAATGACAAGTCGATAGAGACAGGTATCCATTTACAGTTTTTGAGTAATACAAGGACTATTTAGGACAATTTTTTTTAATTAAAACCATACCCACGTGAAGTTTTTATTATTGCAATATAAGTACACAGTCTTAAGCCTATTGCCTATATTGGAATCCAAAAAAGTACTTGCATATCTTGTTAGATTTATTACTTTAAACACAAAACAAGTAGAGTCATTACCGAGAAAAATTAGAGCAAAAATTCAATTATTTGCTACCTCAATCGTAATAGAACTTCAAAAAATCAAACACTATGGTGAAATTACGCATGAATCTTGTGAAAGAAAATGTTCTACTGTTATTGAAAAACGGAATTCTGCACAATAAATGAATAGTTGAAAAAGTTTGTTTAAGCTTAAAATATTTACTTATAAGTAATAAGTAAGTTTGAGGGTAAACGAGTCCATACAAACTATAGGGTACTACAAACTGCAAAGTATTCGTTAGAGAAGGACCTATTCCACAAATAATAAGAAGTTTGAGGACATGGATGTAAATTCCATTTTCTGCTTCAGCAAGAAATACAGGTGTCCCCTTTTCTAAACAAAATTCCAACAATGTGGCTAGTAATAAGGGAAATTTCTAGTAATAATCTTAAGACACCAAACGAAACTCTGTTCAACTTCATCCCTCAAGTTTCTCGCCCAAAATCAATTAGGGTTTAGAATGTACTCAATGAAAGTGATGAGAGCTTTGTTTTTTACTCTACTCTTTACTCTCATAATAATCCCAATCTCTCAAGCAGGATCAATTTTCCCTCGGCCGCAGATTCACCCATCTTTCAAAATCAACACAACCCAGGTAATTTTTCAGTTATATGAACGTCAAACTGTTAATTATTAACCGCATTTAGTAAATCAATTTAAATTTCAATTAGTTTTGGTTGTTAAATGTTAGAATCGAAGAAGCTGTTCGTTTACGGTGAGCATAAGGACGAGTTGCTCTTCAATCCGGTATACTCGAGACCGCATCAGTCTTGCGTTTGGTGATGCTTATGGAAATCAGGTTCTAGTTCCAGAAACCCAAATATCATGTTTGGCTAAGCTTAAAATTTTACTTATAAGTAGATAAAGTTTCGAATAATAATGTTGCTGGCCGTGAAAGTTGAAATAAGAAAATTATTTTGAAATAAGCAAGGGTTCCTATTTAATTTTTTACTTATAAAAAGTAAAAAAAGCAAAGGAAGTGAGTCAGTCTGGGTGAAAAAAAAGTTACCTTTTTTATGCTGCTTGCAGCATACAAGTTTACTTATAAGTTTGTACTCGTAAGTAATTATCTATTTGGCAAAAGTTGGAAATACGTAATTACATATATGCATAGACAACAAGGTTAGACTAAGTGATTTACCTCTGGTTATTGTCCTTTCAGATACGCCACCTGTATAAGAATGAAAGAGGTGTATGTGTAAATGTGCACTCGTCATTCTCCTTCCCAAACCAACTAACCTACTCAACCTTGTAATTCTGTTCATTTATTAAAAAAAATCCTCTCTTGTAATTTTTGAAGTTCAATAGGGTGGGGAAATGCCAGTATCGGCCTTAAAACACTTGCCTAAACCTGATCGTTAATTTGATATCATACAGGTTTATGCACCAAGGCTTGACGATCCACGAACAGGGACCTTCGAAAGATGTTCGACTGACACATTTGAGATATACGGGCCATGCACATACCAAATATGTTATTTGTACCTCTATAGGAGCGGATACGATGGATGGATCCCATATGATGTAACAGTCTACGCATATAATTCGAGGCCCGTTACTTTCTATTACAATGAGCTTATACCGGCAGGCACTTGGTACGGATTTGATAACTGTTATGATTATGGTGCTGCTGCTTCTGCTGCTATGAAATAATGGAGAGTGTTCTGTTACCTGTAATGTTAACTCTCAGTCTCTTGATCTTCTACTCGGCTATTGGTGTATGTTGTCCTATGTTCTGAAATACTCGTAGCTCTTCGTGGAGGAGAATGAATAAAGTTAATTTACGCAGTTATGTGTTGTTTTGATACTTTTGTATATACTTGTGTTCATGAGAATGACGAAACTTAAAAATAAGTGGAAAATAAGCAAATTCGGAGATGAAAATTGGCTTGGACTTGGCGGGTGGATAAGATAGTGCTGTGTAGGGTTAAAGAATAGAGAAAAAAAGGCTAGTATCTTTTCGTATAGTACTACTATTTAGTGTGGTCTAATACTAGGTATCAAAATTGCATTAATTAGGGATGATAATGGGTCAGGCCGGGGCAAGCTGCTCCATACTGAAATCTCCAGCAAGACGGAGATGAAGACATCCGTATGTTCATTCCCATTGAAAAATAAAAAAAAAAATTGGACCGTGGCGACATGACAAGGAGCCTTGATTAAGTAGACACATATGAGAAGTAGGAAATTGCAATATTGGTCCCCAAATTATTGCCTCAAGAACAAGTTGGTCATCGACCTTTAAAAAGAAAACAATTAGCCCTCAAATTTTCATTGTGTTGCACATTAACGTAGCTCACATGAAAAACATGCCCTTCAGATTTATGAATTAATCCTAGTCGGAAACGAAACCTAACTAGATAAAGTTGGACATGTGATTGAAATTAGCTTATGAAACACACTCTAGGCACCTGCTTGAAGTGTGACAATGAGAATCAATGAATCCCTGTGGTTAATTGTGTAACAACAATCTGTATCTTACTCGTCTAAGGCTCCGAAATAATCGGTGCTATAGGTTCAATCAAATCTCTTGGTAACAATGCGAGCTTTCTATGCCTAATGGCAACCAATATTACAAGCATTAGATAGTGGAGGAATTAAATTCCATGTGTTAATTTCGAACTAAGGGATCATACTCTTGTTGCATTACAACCAGTCATTTCTATAGCACCAATATTTAATATCATGCGCTTGTTTGATATCCATTTTGTATCCAATTTTTAGCCAAATTATAGACGTTACACAGTGTGTGTGTCACGTAGGGGTAGGAACTTTTTGACTAAATGACGTAAAATTATCAATGTGTCCCTGCACATAAAATTCATTATTAATAATGGCAATCTAGTAAATCAATTCCATTGCAGTCAGTACTTCCTCCACAGGTGGGTCCCACTAACAATAGTCACATTTTGTATTAAGGGTGCGTTTGATTGTAAGGGTGGAAAATGGGTGGAAAGAAAATGAATTCCAGGGAAAGTAATTGCTCAAAAATTGTTTCTCAATGAATTGTTAATTAAGTGTGTTTGATTGGTATAATTTTGCACCCAGAAAAAAATTTAAATTTTTGATTTTTTTTTGT